GTTTACCGGCGGAGGACAAGGGCGGGCATCTATTCAGCCCGCGCCCCCTCGGTCCCCCTCGCACACCCATTTGGCCGGTCCATGATCAGCGGCGGGGCACCCCCTATTTTCTTTTTCTTTTTGTTTTCTCTTCTATTTTTGTTTTTCTTATTCAATTAATTTGGGATTTCAAAAAATAGAGTTTTGGAAAATTTTGTGGATCCAAAAAATTTCCCTGATTTCGATAATGTTCATGATTTCAGAAAATGTTTGTAATTTCAAAAAATGCTAGTTAATTTGGATATTGATGAACCTTTTTTTAATATGATGAACTTTTTTAGTTAGAGGAACAAATTTTTTTGAGAAAACATAGATGAATTTTTTAAAAATTTGATGGACATAATTTGAATTTGATGAACATTTTTTAAGATCGATGAAGTAATCTCGAGTTTTATGAACTTTTTTAATGATTAACAAATTTCGAATTTTGATGAACATTTTTTAAATTCCGATGAACAATTTTTTTGTGTATTTGAAAATAAAATTCGTAAAAAAGGTTAAAAAAAGTAAAGAAGAAGAAAGAGAAAGATAAAGGAAAAGGAAAAGGAAAAGAAAAAAGAAAATAAAGAACGAAAAAATGAAAAGAAAAAAAAAACAGGAAATGGGCCGGCCCATATGACACCCGCACTGCGAGAGGGGGGTACGTGCTACCTCGAGCGCGAGCGCCCTACGCGCCGTCTAGGATTCCCCAGGCAAGGAGGCACGGTGTCGACGGCTGACCATCGTGGATCCACCGTTCTTGGCCCAACTTGGTGTGCCGCGGTGGTGGGTTGCACGATGATCTGATCTGGGCCGTAGCGAACCAGCGCCCGCCATAGGGTGATGGCGTGGTTCCGTCTCAACCCGCGTGCCTTGAGATGCATTGTTTGGCTGCGGTGAGATGGTCGACGAAAGTCATGCTTAGAATTTTTATTTTGGGTCGACGATGGTGACGTATTTGGGCCTTAGGAGTCGTCGATGCCGTTCTCACCTTCATCGTTGCCCTGTTTTGGGTGGTCGAGGTATCGGCACGGAGCGTGGCGACAATCCTTCGTTGCAACTAGCGTCACAAAGATGGTCCATGACAATTTGCCGGTGATAATCACCACCATGGCGAGACAATGACAACTCGTGGTGTACTGCTTGAGGTGCCCATATTTGACACCAGCCATGAAAAGCATGGGATTGTCGGGTCATCTCCAAGTTGGAATTTTGGTGTTATCATCTTCTTCACCATGCGATCAATGGCTCCATTCATCTTCGGGTGACTAACAATTTGTTTGGTGTGTGCATGGTTTTTACTTCGCGCGGATATTATGTTGGAACCATATACGCTTACATCATTTTCAATAGCTGCAAATGCTCGACTGGGATTAATGTTTTTTTATTGTTTTTTCTTATTCCCTCCACCTAGGCACAACAGTGATCTTATATGTCTGCGATTTGTCAGCATGATCTTTCGTGTGTGCATTGGTGTTGGGCGTGTGCATCCTTTTCTATAGAGATATTCCATCATGTTTGCATCCTCTTAATGCTTCGTTATGAGTTAATAAAAACACAACCTTTTATCAGGAAGTGAAATAAAACACAAGGAGTTTTCAGAAAGATTCTTAGGGCATCTTCAAAGTGGACCCTCAAGTCGTCTATATATGTCCTTTGTGAGAGTCCGGACACTTTTTACCATCCAATGCTATCCCTCAAACGTCCACGGACTGGACCGGACGTCCATATTCCGTCAAATTAGAAGCAAGCTTAGAGGCTTTGGAGGAGTCCGGACATCTGCCTGGCCAACCAAAAGTCACCACGTCGGACATCCAGACCCTCCCCCCCTACCCCTCTCTTCTACCGCGACATGCACATGCATATATGGACATTTAAGCGACATGGTTGGATGGCTGGCTCCCGCATCAGTGTCGGTCTGAGCCAGTTCATGGATAAATACAGTGTCCGTTTTAGAGGTCAGCTTGGTGATGCCCTTATGTACAAATCAATCAACACAAATGGGTAAAATTTCTAAAGATGCTGAAGTAATCTTTAAAATTTCTTATAAAAGTCCTTGGAATGAAAGATCCCCTCAACAGTTATTATACAAGTCAAAATTAGTTTTGAAAATCCGTCCTCTCCTAAATCTAAATCCTATCCGCATAGAAGGCCAAGTTGATACGGAAATGCAACCGGGTGATTGGCGGACAAAGCTAGCGTGGACGAAGCAACTGGAGATTCTCCTTCCTTGCAAGAATCCACCACCCAAGTTCAAAAAGAAAAAAAGGAAGAAAAAGAATCCACCCCCTACGCACAGAGATTCCTACGATCAAGATACTCTTCCCTTGGACTTCAGAACGGATCAAACTCGCCGATGAGTGCTGCCACAAGTTGCCCCTCTTTATTCCTGACATTAGAAAAACAATTAGCACTTTCTTAATTCTGCTCACTAATTAGCCATTCCTGCTCGGACGATACCAATGATGATGACGTGTTCGATCATGTACCGCTTCGCAGCCGTACCCTCGGTGAAGTTATTATTTCGACATGTGCCCTTGAATTTGTACACTTCATAATAACTATACGTGACACGCACCGGTCTCCACTGTTCGGTCAATGAAATAGTAGTGCCGGTAGGTAGGACATTACGTGATACGAAATGAAATTTCATGCTGTCACAATAAATTATGGTTTCTCTGTTCAAAGTCTCCAAGTCGTGTACAGAGATTGTAGGAAGTGATTTGCGCACTTGTGTGCATTCAGAAGCGAGAACAGTAATATGCTCCACCTTATCTTGCCATGAATCTAATGATAGCGCAGCTGTTCAAGTGTACTATGAAGCTCACATATCAAGGAGCCAATGGATGCTACAGTATGATGCATTTTATTTTATGTTGATATAATAATATATATTTTTTTTCCTTTGCAAACTGCTCCTGTGTATATCTCATTTGGTTTCCAACTAATAGTATATATTTATATGTTATGAATGAGATGGTGACATCCAAGCACTTTGTTTGCTCAACGCCTACCTACCTAATTGCTTGGCCACCAAAGAATAAATAAGTCACTTTTCGTAATGAAATTTGAGAAAGGTATCACCATTGATTGCTCTATACGTCCATTGGATGCCTTGCCTTTTCTCTCGGCAAATCTCACTCAAGGCCGTACCCCTATTGTGACTATATTGATTAAAAATAATAAATCTTTGGCTCTCTCTC